ATACATTTATAAGTATTAACACTTTTTTTTTAAAGGTTTCTTTTTTTTTTATTACCGTAATCTTTTGAAAACTAATTTCAGACCATTGATTTTTCTAGAAAGAATAATTCCGAAGAAATTTCATGGATTCTGAAGATAAGAAAGTTATTTTGAAATAAGTTAGTGCAATTTATGACAATATGTGAATTTTCATCCCATTCTTTGAAAATTTCAATAATTAAAATAATCTGAAAGTAATACCTCAACTGTCGTTTTACCTAATTAGTTTAAATGCTTCATGCAATAATGATCGCATCGCTGTTATTTTTTTTTCTTGTTTTAATGATAATTTTGAATTTTTAAATGCAATATGAATAAAGATAACATATCGGAGGAAAGATAGGTAGATGAATGAGGAAATGATGACAAGAAGAGATGACATGCTAGTCATCTCATGCAAAAAATTACTCACCAGATTCTTCACGTAATAATCTCTCTCTTTTCTGCTTTTCAAAAACTTCCTGTTGTTCAGTTGGTGTAAGTGCACGAAATTTCACTTGTGACGTTACAGTTGTCCACTGCCCAGGTTGTAAGATTTCAGTTCGTGAGCTACTTCGTGAATTGCTGCGACTTCTGAAGTATGGACTGTCCCGTGTAGGGCTACTAGCATAGGTTCGAAATGTTTCTGGACACGATGCTGAACCTTGACTGTTTCGACCACTTTGCAATTCACTACGCTGCTCGTCAAATGATGAATTTGACCTTTTCGGCAAATGCTCCTGCCCGAATACAACAACACGCTGATTTTTAACGTTTGCACTACCACTGCAGGTAAAGAGCATGAACCTGCTCGGCTTGCATTATCGTTTTATTTTGAAAAGGACACTTCTTTCCAATTTGTCGTCTTCCACACTATTAAACACCTGCCTATGCTGTCCACTTAACATTTTCTTATCATATGGTTCAGTTTCGGTCAGATTAATTAATCTCGTAACGTAAACTTTAAAAAAAAAAAAAAGAAAAAAAAGCACATAATGGAAATTTTTAATGTTTAAAAATGACTTGATAATAGGAGAAATATCAATAATTAATTATACGCATAGATGAATGATGTAAA